CAAACAATAGTAGGAGTGGCCTGCACCTTAACAATATGTTTTTGCTGTAGATAATCTGCCAGAACTTGTTTCTCTGCTCCTCACTGAGAATGCTTTGTTTCCCATAAGGAATGCTTTCAGTTAATCTATAATCTACAGAAGCAATGCTTATCACTACCTTGCTGTCAATAAATATGTGAGTCAAACTCTGTTCGTGGCTCTCAGCTCTGAAGGCCGTTAGCTTCTGACTCCCACTTTGGACTCTATTTCTGTGTTTTTGTCTTCAATTCCTCTAGTGCTGCTGGGTTGGGGTCTCCATGACCGAGCTGGTCTTGGTGTCTCCTGGTACCTGATATGCAGCCATTGAATTGGCAAAATTGTTTTCTCCATTCCTGTCCAAAGCCCCATGAGAAGCAATTTGACTTCAGTTGGCGAGGCTCACAATATACCTTTACTATTATACCTAAGGGGTATATCAACTCTACAGCTTTATGTCATAATCTTATTTGGAGAGACCTTGATCACTTTTCACTCCCACAAGATATTGCACTGGAAAATTGCATTGGTGACATTATGCTGATTGGAGCCAGTGAGCAGGAAGTAGCAAACACATTGGACTTATTTGTGAGACATTTGCATGCCAGAGAATGGGAAATTAATCTAACTAAAATTCAGGGACCTTCTACCTCAGTAAAATTTCTAGGGGTCCTGTGGTATTGGAACTGTCGAGATAACCCTTGCAAGGTGAAGGATAGGTTGCTGCATTTGGCCCCTCCTGCTATCAAAAAAGAGGCACCAAACCTAGTGGGCCTATTTGGATTTTGGAGGCATCGCATTCCTCAATTGGGTGTGTTACTCCAGTGCGCATTTATCAAGTGACCCGAAAAGCTGCATGTTTTAAGTGGGTTCCAGAACAGGAGAAGGTTCTGCAAGAGATCCTTGAAAAATGATGAAAGCTGCTCTGCCACTTGGGCCATATGACCCCACAGATCCAATGGTGCTTGAGGTGTCAGGGGCTGATCGGGATGCTGTTCGCAGCCTTTGGCAGGCACCCATAGGTGAATCAGAGCAGAGGCCCCTAGGATTTTGGAACAAGGCCCTGCCATCTTCTGCAGATAACTACTCTTCTTTTGAGAGACAGCTCTTGGCCTGTTACTGGGCTTTGGTGGAAATTGAATGTTTGACTATGGGTCAGCAAGTCACCATGTGACCTGAACTGCCTTTCATGAGCTGGGTGTTTCCTGACCCATTTAGCCATAAATTAGGTCATGCACAGCAGCATTCCATTATCAAATGAAACTGGTATTTACGTGATCAGGCTCCAGTAGGTCCTGAAGGTGCAAGTAAGTTGCAAGAGGAAGTGGCTCAAATGCCCATGGTCTCCACTCCGGCAACCCTGCCTTCTCTTAACCAGCCTGCACCAATGGCCTCATGGGGAGTTATCTATGATCAGTCGACAGAGGAAGAGAAGACTAGGGCCTGATTCACAGATGGTTCTTTATGATATGCAAGCATCACTGGAAAGTGGACAGCTGCAGCACTACAAACCCTTTCTAGGACATCTCTGAAGGACAGGCGTGAAGGGAAATCTTCATTCCCGGTGCAGAGAACTTTGAGCAATGCACCTGGTTGTGCACTTTGCATAGAAGGAGAAATGGCCAGATGTGCAATTCTATACTAATTCACGGCTATAGCCAATGGTTTGGCTAGGTGGTCTGGGACTTGGTACAAGTATGATTGAAAAATCAGTGACAAAGAATTTTGAGGAAGAGGTATGTGGATGGAACTCACTGAGTGGTCAAAAACTGTGAAGATATTTGTATTCCATGTGAGTGCTCACCAATAGGTGACCTCAGCAGAGGAAGATTTTAATAATCAAGTGGATAAGATTATCTTTTCTGTGGATACCACTCAGCCTCTTTCCCCAGCCACCCCATCATCACCCAGTGGGCCTATGAATAAATGGCCATGGTGGCAGGGACAGAAGTTATGCATGGGCTCAGCAACATGGACTTCCATTCACCAAGGCTGATTTGGCTAAGGCCACTGCTGGGTGCCCAGTTTGCCAGCAGCAGAGACCAAAACTGAGCCCTTGATTTAGCACCATTCTTCAGGGTAATCAGTCAGTGACCTGGTGGCATGTTGATTATATTGGACCTATTCCATCATGGGAAGAGTAGAGGTTTGCCCTCACTGGAATAGACACTTAATCTGGATATGGGTTTGCCTATCCTGCATGCAATGCTTCTGCCAGACTACCATCTGTGGACTCACAGAATGCCTTATCCACCATCATGGTATTCCACTCAGCATTGCCTCAGGCCGAGGCACTTACTTTACAGCTAAAGAAGGGTAGCAGTGGGCTCATGTTTATGGAATTCACTGGTCTTACCACGTTCCCCATCATTCTGAAGCAGCTGGATTGATAGAACGGTTGAATGGCCTTCTGAAGTCACAATTACAATGCCAACTAGGTGACTATACTTTTTGTGGTTGGGGCAAAGTTCTCTACAAGGCGGTATATGCTCTGAATCAGCATCCGATATAGGGTACTGTTACTCCCATAGCCAGGATTCATGGCTCCAGGGATCAAGGGGTGGAAGTGACACCAATCATCATTACCCATAGTGATCCACTAGCAACATTTTTGCTTCCTTCTTCCATGACATTATGTTCTGCTGGCCTAGAGGTCTTAGTTCCAGAGGGAGGAATGCTGGCACCAGGATACACAACAATGATTCCATGAAACTGGAAGTTAAGATTGCCACCTGGACATTTTGTGCTCCTCATACCTTTAAGTCAACAGGCTAAGAAGGGAGTTACAGTGTTCGCTGGGGTGATTTACTCAGACTATTAAGATGAAATCAGTTTATTACTCCACAAGGTAAGGAAGAGTATGCATGGAATACAGGGCATCTCTTAGTGTTGCCATGCCCTGTGATAAAGGTAAATGGGAAACTACAACAGCCCAATCCAGGCAAGACTACAAATGATCCAGACCCTTCAGGAATGAAGATTTGGGTCACTCCACCAGGAGAAAAAAAAAAAAAAAAAAAAAAGGACCTGCCGAGGTGCTTGCTGAAGGCAAAGGGAATACAGAATGGGTAGTAGAAGGTAATCATCAATACTAGCCATGACCACGTGATCAGCTGCAGAAACGAGGACTGAAATTGTCATCAGTATTTCCTCCTTCTTTTGTTAAAAACATTTTTGTGCATGTATACACTTGCACTAAGAAAATATCTTCATTTTATCTCCTTTCTCATTTATCATGTAACTAGATTTATTGACTTCATATCAGCATTTAAGTATTGTTAATTTTATGTAATAGTATTTGGGTTGGAGATTGGTGAGTTTCCAGTTGTACGAAGGATAGTTGTATTATTTTAGGCATAATCATGACCGTATTATTGTCTTTATTTGAAGATTATGCATGATCTCAGGAGAGGCGTATGGGTTCAAGTTGACAGAGGGTGGACTTGCGATGGTTAATATTGAGTGTCAGCTTGATTGGATTGAAGGATACAAAGTATTGATTCTGGGTGTGTCTGTGTGGGTGTGGCCAAAGGAGATTAACATTTGAGTCAGTGGGCTGGGAAAGGCAGACCCACCCTTAAACTGGGTTGCCACAATCTAATCAGCTGCCAGCACAGCTAGAATATACGCAGGCAGAAAAATGTGAAAAAGGAGACTGACCTAGCCTCCCAGTCTACATCTTTCTCCTATGCTGGATGCTTCTTGCCTTCAAACATCAGACTCCAAGTCATTCAGTTTTGGAACTCGGACTGGCTTTCTTTGCTCCACAACCTGTAGATGGCCTATTGTGGAACCTTGTGATTGTGTGAGTTAATATTTAATAAACTCCCCTTTCGCTCTCTCTCTCTGTGTGGCGTGGGGTGTGTGTGTGTGTGTGTGTGTGTGTGTGTGTGTTTGTATTCTAGTAGTTCTGTCCCTCTAGAGAATCCTAATACACCATTTCACCATTGATGGGCACCTAGGTTGATTCCATGTCTTTGCTGCTATGAATAGTGCTGTGCTTCATCTCATTTTATAACCAGAGGAACCCAGATGTTGAAAGAGAACTATTATTATTATCCCACCTTATTTTGAAGTAAACTGTCTATAAGTTTAAGTAATTTTCCAGAGACAGTGAAGGGCAATGGTAAAAAACAAACAAACAAACAAACAAAAACTCTGAAAATTAAAAGTAAATTAAAAAAATAAAGCATATGATGCCGCCTCACTTCTGCTTCATCCATGGCATCAAGATTAGTACTATAACAGAGCTCAGTGAGAAAAAAGGAAACCATATGAGTGATTTTGGAGGGATATAATTAAATATAAGTAATTGGGTAAACAGCAGTTGAAGAACAGAGCAAGTTAAAGTAGACACCATGCTACTAATTGTCTATTAAATATGAACTACTAATTGCAAAAAAAAAATGGTTACATTCATGAAGCTAAGTAGCAAGTGGAAAAGACTGGGGTTAGTTGAACCTAGAAGATGGTAGGACTGACCCAACGGATCTCATACTCAGAATTCTAACAATAGGTATTTCTCAGCTGGTGCTAGAAGTTTGGGAAATTTGTATAGAGCTCAAAGAACTGGAATCCAGAACCCTGAGTGTAATACACCAGACAGCAGACAACGAAGTTTTTCTGGAGTGTGTTTTAAAAAGTAGGGGAATATTAAAACCAAGTATTGTTACCAGTGTAAAATCTATTATTCAGGAAACACTGATAAACAGGAAGAAAAGAGATCTCCCAGATTTCTAATTTCCTATTCTTTCTCCCTGTTGCAAATCCCTATGGGATGAGGGCTGGTTTAGCAGAAATATGGTTCCTGCAAAGTAGAACGAAAGAGAAGAAAGGATTTGGAAGCTGAAAAACAACAAGTTAAAAATTGGTATGCCACACATATGCCATGATTTTTTTAGGAAATATAAAGTGGCAAGGTTTTCAGAAAAATAAACTTTCAAATTATTTAAAACAATGAAGAGTAAGTAGAAACATACTAGGAATTATTTTTTTAATGTACCTTTTCCAGATACAGATTTTGGAAATGGTACTGATTGCTTTGGTTTCCCACTTTGACTCCGGGAAGGTGTCATATGAGGTTGACTCTGGGAGGGTGTCACCCAAGGTTGGCTCTGGGAGGGTGTCACAGGACGCTGACTCTGGGAAGGTGTCAACTGAGGTTGCCTCTGGGAGGGCATCACAGGAGGTTGACTCTGAGAAGGCATCACCCGAGGTTGACTCTGGGAGGGCATCACAGGAGGTTGACTCTGGGAAGGCGTCACCTGAGGTTGACGCTGGGAGGGTGTCACAGGAGGTTGACTCTGGGAAGACGTCACAGGAGGTTGACTCTGGGAAGGTAACTCATGAGGTGGATGCAGAATTTTTTCCTCTTCTTTTGCAGATCGAGTTTGAACATCTTGCTGCTTTTTTATTGGCTTATTTTTTTTACAAAGTCGATAAAGACAATATAATAAGATAAACAAAACAATAAGCAACAATAAACACAGATAACAAAACTTCTTTTTCTTCTTTCTCTTAGGGGGTGGGCCACTGTCAATACTACCTCCATAGCCTTGTATCAGGCAGTTGGGAGGGTCCCACAAATAATTGCAATGGCAGTGATGTTTATTGTTACAGATGCCCCTCTTGTTACAAAATGCAGGTGAGCAATTACTATTCAAGATGGTTATATGGACACAGTGCCTGTGGATGCATATATGATCTATCCCACACTCTGTTCCATCTTTCACTTCACCAATATCAGGTCCCTTCATCCCCAAATGGTAATCAGTACTCCAGCACATTATGTCATTGAAGCGAGCCCAATGAATAGTAGTATGATCACTCAAACTGGGAATCTCTGTCACATTCTCACACTGAATTCTTCCACACTGGACATCTGAGATATTACACTTGATATATGAAGCATTTTTGATACCACAGTGACCAACACGTTCACCTAAGGTGTTCAATTGTTTGTAGCAAGTCTGACTCGCGGTATTTGCCCCTGCACCAAAAATCCTCCTACACTGTTCATTGCGGTCATGACAACTCTTTTCATAGCAGTAGGACCTCTCCTTACAGGGAATTCCATCTTCCACATAAACGTCATCTGGGCACTTATGGGAAGTACCATTGCACCACTCTGGAAGATCACATTCATTGGCCTCCTTTCTACACACTTCCCCTGATGGTAGGAACTTGCAGTCTTTGCAACAAAGCCCAAAAGCACAAGTAGAACCATCGGTCAGAGTGCAGTTTGACAGACAGCAGGGATCTTTTGCACAATGCTTTAAAGGGCCACAGTCACACTCCTCTCCTTCTTCAACAACACCATTCCCACAGCGCTTCCTATTAAAGATGTCCTTTGTGTGTAGATTTTCAAGCAAACACTTTGTCTTCTCTACAGTGTGTGCCCAAAAATCACCATAACTACAATTGCTAAATTTAGTTATTGGTGGGTTAACTTCATGCATTATGCATAGATATTGTGAACAACGGCATGTACCATAATCATGATTCATGCCCAAATTATGACCTAGATGATGAGCCACTGCAATTGAAAAAGTGCCCAAAGTTTTGTTCATGAAAGTAACAATTGCACAACTGCGGTCTAGTGTACACATTCCGCTAACAGCTCCTATGCCACTTAACCCTCTTAATCCTCGACTTGTGAAAATATGGGAGGTGTCATGTCGTAACCGGGGAGTCATGTTGTCCAACTTCCACTTGCAATATAGGTGCAAAGACTTCCTTACATCATCTATTACAATGAAGTTTTTATTAGTCCAGATCTCCAAACCAAATAATAACACCTTAACACCAATTACATCAAAAATGGAATCCACTATATTAAAAATAACATATAGATCCTCCAGCAACTGTGAGTCATTCCTTTTATAACGAATGTATAGATAATTATCAATGACAACTACCATTTCAATAATTCTAAAATGAATCCACCAGCCTACGTAAGAACTTTGCTTCAGAGTGGAATTATCAATTTCTTCAAATTCCATTCGGCATGTTATTTCATTTTGCATAAATCCGGATCTCATGGTTGAAAATTGTTTCTCCTTACTGTCCATCTTATATACCAGATGTTCAAATGTGGTAGAAAATGCTAAGGGCTTGATTTCATAAGCAATGTCATTTATCTGTAATATTCCTTGAAAGCCCCCAAAACAGGTACTGAGGGAAACCAGGGATTCTGGGTCCCCTTCCACATAACCATGATAGTAGCAGTTATTCTGGACAAAAGGTTGGTCCTCAAGGATAGCACCCTGGTCTGTGTAAGTGAACACAGGGAGGTGTTTGGAGAACAAAAACTTCTTGACCTTTATGTGGATAATGTGTTTCTGACCTCCAAAGGGAAGGATATAGGAGAGCCAGCCTGGAGGTTTCATGCCTCTGGCAGTGCCAGTTATCCTCACAGGAATCACCACATCCGGACGGCTGTGATATTGGGGGTGCTCCACCTGGATGTGTCCAGAACAGGACAGAAACACCCCAAGCCAATGCAGCAGGAGTAACACCTTCATGTTCAACAAGGTTTCAAATCACAGTGATTTTGAAGTCACTGTTATGGAAACACTGGTCCGGAGCAGAAGTCAGGGCTGGAGTCACAGGTGGTGCAGCTCCTTCTTCTGAGTTGGTCAGTGTGTAGTGCTAATCATTAAAGATCCATCTTCTGGGAGAATTGAACCATCAGAGCTGCAGCACTATAAATAAAATGAAAAGCAGCATGTGGATGAGTGTACAGAAATTTTTCTTATAAGAGAATCCAGTGGGGAAGAGCAGAAAGAGAAAAAAACATGAGATAAAATGATTAGTGCTTTGATCAAGGAATGACTCAAGAAATTGCCTAGAATTTCCTCTTAAATATTGACAGGGAAAAGGGAATAGGGAGTGTACAGAAAATAAAACTTGGCCATACACAGATAGTTATTGAATATAAGTGATGGGAAATTGATCCACTATACATTTCTTTAAATATGTAATTATTTGCAAATATTTCCACAATAATTAAAACAAAAAGTTTTAAGGGTAAGTTGAACTTATATGTTAAATTTCTGAGACAGTTTCAATTTATACATGTTAAATTGTCATAAACATTAATAGCTTTTCTATTTGATTTCAGATGATAAATTAGTTGAAAACATTATCTAAGAGATATTTTAAAAAACCATTCTTATGTTATTTTAAATTTTTTTGTACTTACTGTATACCTTTCTGTGGCATGATATTTATTTAATTTTCTGTTTCTTCCCTAACTTCCTCTTCTTACTAGACTAGTCAGCAGAAAGATCCTCAACAGCATCATTTGAGTCTTTCACAAATATTAGTATCTCATATAATGCCTGGCTGAATTCTTTATGTAATAAATAATGGTTGACTTGAAGCTGATTGTTCTTGGAGTGAAATAAATGTTACCCAAAATATGTTTACACTTTATTATGTTTTTAAAGAAGAACATTATTCAACATCTATGGTAAATGCATGCTCTGGAACAAAGTTGTATAGTTTCAGTTTTTCCTGATCTTTCCTTCTAAATACAATTTAATACTCTGAAACAAGTCAACGGAAAACAATAAAAAGATACTGAAAACTCATGGATATAGAGAATAGAAGGATGGTTAATAAAAAGAAAAAATCTGACTAGTGACCTTTGGACTTGAGGAAGGTCAGTTATCTGAGTTTCTTCTTATCTTTCATGTATATCCCAAACTGGATTCTGGACAGATCTTTAACCCCAAACCTCCAACAGGCATAGAAAATCAATCAATCAATCAATCAGTATCACTAAGAGGTTTCCCTTTCTGGCCAAATGACTAAGAATGGAAAAGCTCAGCAAAGACATGGTGAAGTGCTCCAGCCCCTTTGTTAGAGTCAGGGAGTCGGGACACATGTGTGTGTTGATTCACCTACAGTGGCTGTTTCAGACTTGGCAGACCCACCAAAAACACACTCCGCATTCAGTGCACTGGTGGGCTGTCCATTCCACACATATTGGCAACATCACAGCACCGGATGACTAACTTAACCCTCATTCAATAACCAGATAACTAGCTAACTGATCTGCCTTCAGAAGCATCAGTGAAGCCCTACCTCGCTGATATAACACTGCTGTAGAACTAGGCCAGTGAAATGGAGCCTGAATGAGCCACAGAAGTATTATCCATAAAGCCTGATATTTCCTAGCCCTCTATCCAATGACACAGGAAGACCAAAGCCTGGTAGTTTCTGCTCCTTCCATCTTCAGGAGTGAAAGTGGCCGAGTGACATGAATGGCCTAGAAAGGGCCTTTTGTCCCAGACGGCACCAGCAATGATTGAGCTGAAACTCCTTCAGAATCAAAAAAGCAAAGTAAAGTATAATAATATTGAGAGAGCTATCAAAATTAAACATTTCTGGAACTCAGCCCACAAAAGCACACCAGAATATACACTCTAAACATAGAAAGGCAACTATCTTCTAAAATAGAAAATTTAAAAAGGATCAAGCATCTCCTACAGAGTGACATCAGCAAAATGGCAGAGTGGGAAGTTCTGCACCATCCTACTCCCCAGAACATATTTCAACAACAATTTTTGAACACATTATCTTTGTAAGAAATTCTGAAGCTAATTGAATGACTACCACACCCTGGGAAAATGAAAAATCAGAGTTACCAAAGTTGGCAGGGAGATTCAGAATACCCTCTCAGTGGAGTCCCTGTCCTCAGTGTACTGCCATACAATCAGAAAGAGAACCCCTAGTTCCCAGCTTCACCCAGTCATTGGAAGAGATTGATTTGTGTCCAGTACTCCAAACTTTTTGAAGAGCCTTTATACACGAATTAGTTATGTCAGTTGGAGCTCTGACTGGTCTACCACAATCTAGCTTTCTGCAGAGGATGGAGATGATGGTTTCATCTGGTGGATGCCACAGACCCCTGTCCCTAACCCAATTTCTTGCCATTGAGTAAGCAAATAAGAAATCCCAGCTTTCAGCTTCCTGCTATGGAGGAAGAGCACTGATCTTTGTATCTGACACTACAACTTTTTAATGGCTGCCTAAAGATCTAGCAGCTATCTAACTAGTTTTGGAGGTCAAATGGGTCTGGCACAGTCTAGACACCTGTGGGAGAATGGAGATGCAGCTTGAGCCAGTAGACAGCATAGATCCTCCCTACTTCTCAGTACATAGAGAGCAGGCAAAAAATTCCAGCTTTCAACTTTCTCCTGGGATTGGGGAGGGTGTGGAAGATTTGATTAGTGCATCCAGTGCCCAAATTTCTCCAGGGCTCTCCAAAGAACTGGCATCTTACTAACCAGTCTTAGGGCTCTCAGAGGCCTATCACAGTCTAGCCCCCAGGGAAGAAAATAGATGGAGGCTAGTGCTGGTGGACACCATAGATCCTCCCTCCCACTCAGCACAGAGCAAGCAGAAAAAACATCCCAAGTGTCAGCTTTCTTCTAGAGAAGAAAAGAATTGATCATGTACCCAGGATCCAACCTCTCCAGGACTACAGAAAGAACTGGTATGAGACTTGCCACTCTTGGATTTCTGATGAGTCTGGTACAGTCTAGACACCTGGGATAAAATATTAATAGAAATGGTGGTTTGAACTGGTTGACACAATAGTTTCCCACCCCAGGTCAGCACAGAGGAGTAGACAAAAATCACACCTGTTTCTTTTCATGGAGAGAGAGAGAGTTATTACAAGGACTAGAATCTCTGGCTTTGCTGGTTGGTGGAGGTCTCCTCCTATACAAGGCTAGTATGAAAAGACTGAGAGAGGGCTTTCTGTGTCTAATGTGCAAATATCAACACAGATAACTAAGGAAAATGTAGAAACAGGCAAAGACGTTCCAAACAAAGAAGAGAGAAATCTTCAGAAACCAACCTTAATGAAACATCATTATATGATTTACCTGATTTAGAATGCAAAATATGATACACAGATGTTTATAGAGGTCAAGAGAACAACACAGAAACAAAGTTAGAATTTCAACAAAGCAATAGAAAATATTTTTAAAGTACCAAAACAGAAATCTTGAAGCTGAGGAATGCAATAACTGAATTAAATTATTTAATAGAGAGCTTCAACAATGGACTAGGAGAAGGAGAAGAAACAATCAGTGAACTTGAAAACATATCATTGGAAATGATTCAGTCAGTAGAGTAGAAAGAACAAAAATGAGAGGAGAAAACTTAAGAAACTGATAGGACCTCTTCAAGGACACCAATATAAGCATTAAGGAAGTGTCAGAGGAGAAAAAGGAAGGGGCTAGAAAGCCTATTTAAAGAAATAATGGCTGAACACTTCCCAAATCTGAGGAAGGCAATAGACTATCAGATCCATGAAGCCCAAAAGTTTCCAAATAAGATGAACTCAAATAAATCAACATTGAGGCACATTGTAATCAAATTGTAAAAAGTCAAAAACAAAGTGTATTTTGAGATAAAGAGAAAAGTGACTTGTCACATAAAAGAAAATGTCCATGAAACTATTTGTGAATTTTTCAGCATCAACTTTGCAGGCCACAGGGAGTGGGATGATACATTCAAAGTTCTAAAAGAAAAGAAACTGCCAACCAAGAACACTATACCTGGCCTTTAATAGTGGAAGAGAGATAAAGACTATTTAAAATAAACAAAAGCTGAGAGAGATCATCACCAATAGCATATTACCTGCCTTAGAAAAAATGTTAAAAGGAGTTCTTCAAGTTGAAATGATAGAATACTAAACTGCAACACCATAGCATAAGAAAGTATGAAACTTGATAATAAAAGTAAGTATAGGGACAGATACAGATATTGTATTACTGCAAAAGTGATGTATAAATGACTATTATTTTTTATTCATTACAAATATGTTATTGTATATATTTAAGGTATACAACATGATGTTTTCATATAAGTATACATAATAAAATGATTACTACAGTAATAATGACTTTTAATTCTCGTATAAAAGTCAAAAGACAAAAATATTAAAAAACTAAATAAAATGTGTTAAAAGATACACAATATGAATAGATGTAAACTGCAGCAACAATAAAACAAAGTGTGGGGTAGGGTGTTAGAGCTCCTGTGTGTGACTGCAGAGATTATTCTAGAGTTTCTGTGTGCTATTGAACTTACCAGCTTAAACTAGACTATTAAGTAGTTATTAAAATAAAGAGAAGCAAAATTAATAAACGTTAGCTAGACAAAGAAAAAGAGAAGACTGAATATCAGAAATGAAAGAGGCAACATCAATACAGATGCCACAGAAATAAAATGGAGCATATGATAACACTATGAAAGGGATTTTCAGGGAATGTTTTGGCAACAATATAGATTTTAATACTACCATAGCATGCTTATTTTTCTTTTAGCTTTTCTGTTAGTTTCCTATGGCTGCTGTAACAAATTACCACAATCGCAGTGTCTTAAAGCAACACAAATGTATTACCTTATAGTTCTGCAGTTCTGAAGGCTAAAATGAGTTTCATTGGCCAAAACGAAAGTGTCAGCAGGACTGAGTTTCTTTTTGGAGGTTAAAAGGGAAAAA